CCAGCAGCAACCACTGACCACCAGGGACTGAGGATCCACTCCAGCCCTTCTAGAGCAAGGTAGGGAGGCTGGGTGGACCTCTTATTTATTAAATGTGTGTATGTATGTAATGTTTGTGTGTGTCTGTGAGAGAATATATATATCTATATCTCTCAAAATCCAAATAGGTTATGGTGGGGAAAAATTGTGATTGAAAACCCCTTCCACCTGAAGTATGTGGATAGTTAATACAATGCTAAACAAAAATCTGCACACCAGTCAAGCCATAAGACTTGCTTTTCCCACAGAAATTCCAAATCAGCAGTGATGTTACAACCGCAAAGGATTCTGGGTGGACATATGCAAATTAGTTTAACAAAGAATCACATTTTTGCCTCATTCCATTTTAAACATGGATTCCTTTTAATTTGTGTTTGCAGTATACAACTGCTTGGAACACAATTTAGGATAAGATGCAAAACCAGTGAACCACTCATGGACAGCTGTTTCGTTGTTAATGCAACTCTTCAGCATGAGGTTGGTTACTGGTGTGCAGATTTTTGTTTAGCATTGTATTAACTATCCACATACTTCAGGTGGAAGGGGTTTTCAATCACAATTTTTCCCCACCATAACCTATTTGGATTTTGCTTCCCAAGCACTACCAAGCCTCACTAAGCAAAGTAAAAAACAGATAAAATTCTTATCTTGCAATACCTTTTTTATTGGACTAACAGAATTTTTTAATGACAAGCTTTCGGGAGAACCTCCCTTTCTCAAGTCTGAAGCATTTCTGAGCAAAACGACACATAGAATTCAAAGTTGAGTTGTGATACAGGGGTTAAAGCGACATGAGTGTAGATAAGACACAGGTTTGTTAGACAATAGACACCATCTTAGCAGAGGGTCATAAATATCTTGTTGAAGAGAAGAGTAGTAGTATATATGTGATTATGTGTTTAGTAGATAGCTCCCTTATTTGGTGTCCTTAAATATTGCAATCTAATATAAGGATAACAAATAAGGGATTTATCTACTAAACAACTGAAAAGAAAAGGGCTTTTTAAATTTTGATCCTTTAGCTGTTTAGTAGATAATTCCCTGAATTGGTGCCGTATGCAAGATTTCCATATTTAAAGATACCAAATGAGGGTGCTGTTTAGCAGATAGTTCCCTTATTTGGTGTCCTTAAATATTGCAAGCCCACATAAGGATAGCAAATAGAGTTATCTGCTAAACAAAGATCCAAGTTAAGAGGTGTCAGCCAGCCCACAACAAGAAATCTGGGTGGCTAATGTGAATTATATGCAAATGTGTTGTCAGATGCCAGCATGCAGAGCACAGTGTTTCTGCGTGTGTGTATATGTATCTGCATGTGTAGACATCTCAAAATCTCGCCAACACTACACACAAATACACTCATGCATTTCAATGTCAACACTACATACAAACCCCACCATTATATATAACCACATCACTGCATTCAAATACCACACAACACACAAATGCATGCTTGCATTCAAACACCAACACTACATACAAACACACCCCTACATTCACTCACACATACTCCATACAAAAACATGCATACATTCACACACAAACACTGCTCAGTGCTAGATACATTTTTAAAAAAATTATTATTTTTTTTTTACATTTAATATTGGGGGGGTGCCAAAAATAGGACCCGCCCCGGGTGCCAAATGCTCTAGGTAAGCCCCTGCATTCAAAGATTTCTGGGAGTTAGCTGTCAACATGGGGGGTAGAGCAATAGTTTAAGATGACTGCTCTATAATAACAGGATATTTGTAGTAGAGTGAAACATTAACATTTTCCACACAAAGGAATGTGCCACAGTCAGAAAGGCTTTGTGCTGTGATTGCAGAAGTGAGTTCTATGATTAAACTGAACAAGTGCTGCAATTCAGAGGTCATTGACTGGCTGACTTTGAGCACAGGATGTAATTTGTGATCAGATATCTAATAATGGTATTATTTCTTTACATAATAGTACCCATAACATTGCTCTACATGTAATTCCTTATCAACCTTCCATCCTAGTTTGAACTTGGAAGCTGGCTGTTTTTTTGCTTGCCTTCACACACGCGTTTATTTATTTATGGAGTTTGGGGCTGGCGAAATAGTAGATTCTTAGCTGTTGAATAATTAGCAATTCATGCCATGCCAGTCTTAAAGGAAGCCTCATATTTATGCTATATTTTGTTTTCCCACATTTTCCACTCCATGGCAATAATACTCATAGTAATATGTCTTTAAACCACAACACATGTGCAGAAATCATTCTAAATTATCATTTAGAATCATAAATTGTAACTAGTAAGTCATCTAAACTTTCTCTAACACCCCTCCTCTGTCATCCCTATTAAAAAAAATAAAATTAAAGGGATTCTTTAATAGGGGGGGTAATAAATATGGGGTACTATTTTTGCATTGCCTGTAACAGTTATCTGGCAGCATCACACAGTCACAGGCAGACAGTCATACACACTCAGTGACAAGCACACAGTCACACACACAGTAGCAGGCAGACAGTCACATAGACTGTCACATGCAGACAGTCATAGGCAGACAGCCCCCCATACAGTCACAGCCAGACAATCAAACACACTGTCACAGGCAGACAGTCACATGCACGCAGTCACACACACCCACACAAAGTCATAGGCAGACAGTCACACATACAGTCACAATCACATTTACATATTCGGGGCCAATACAAACCATTGTGTGGAAATCTATTCACAAACCGGACTTTACATAGGACACGAGGTCACGCGTTTAGACTGGAAGAAAGACGATTTCGTCTAAGGCAAAGGAAAGGTTTTTTTACTGTAAGAACAATCAGGATGTGGAATTCTCTGCCTGAGGAAGTGGTTTTATCAGAGTCCATACAGATGTTCAAACGGCTACTAGATGCATACTTGCAAGAACAGAATATTCAAGGATATACAGGGAGTGCAGAATTATTAGGCAAATGAGTATTTTGACCACATCATCCTCTTTATGCATGTTGTCTTACTCCAAGCTGTATAGGCTCGAAAGCCTACTACCAATTAAGCATATTAGGTGATGTGCATCTCTGTAATGAGAAGGGGTGTGGTCTAATGACATCAACACCCTATATCAGGTGTGCATAATTATTAGGCAACTTCCTTTCCTTTGGCAAAATGGGTCAAAAGAAGGACTTGATAGGCTCAGAAAAGTCAAAAATAGTGAGATATCTTGCAGAGGGATGCAGCACTCTTAAAATTGCAAAACTTCTGAAGCGTGATCATCGAACAATCAAGCGTTTCATTCAAAATAGTCAACAGGGTCGCAAGAAGCGTGTGGAAAAACCAAGGCGCAAAATAACTGCCCATGAACTGAGAAAAGTCAAGCGTGCAGCTGCCACTTGCCACCAGTTTGGCCATATTTCAGAGCTGCAACATCACTGGAGTGCCCAAAAGCACAAGGTGTGCAATACTCAGAGACATGGCCAAGGTAAGAAAAGGCTGAAAGACGACCACCACTGAACAAGACACACAAGCTGAAACGTCAAGACTGGGCCAAGAAATATCTCAAGGCTGATTTTTCTAAGGTTTTATGGACTGATGAAATGAGAGTGAGTCTTGATGGGCCAGATGGATGGGCCCGTGGCTGGATTGGTAAGGGCAGAGAGCTCCAGTCCGACTCAGACGCCAGCAAGGTGGAGGTGGAGTACTGGTTTGGGCTGGTATCATCAAAGATGAGCTTGTGGGGCCTTTTTCGGGTTGAGGATGGAGTCAAGCTCAACTCCCAGTCCTACTGCCAGTTCCTGGAAGACACCTTCTTCAAGCAGTGGTACAGGAAGAAGTCTGCATCCTTCAAGAAAAACATGATTTTCATGCAGAACAATGCTCCATCACATGCGTCCAAGTACTCCACAGCGTGGCTGGCAAGAAAGGGTATAAAAGAAGAAAATCTAATGACATGGCCTCCTTGTTCACCTGATCTGAACCCCATTGAGAACCTGTGGTCCATCATCAAATGTGAGATTTACAAGGAGGGAAAACAGAAAGGTGGCTATATTGGTCACCGATTTGTTTTTGTTTTGTTTTTGAATGTCAGAAATGTATATTTGTGAATGTTGATATGTTATATTGGTTTCACTGGTAATAATAAATAATTGAAATGGGTATATATTTGTTTTTTGTCAAGTTGCCTAATAATTATGCACAGTAATAGTCACCTGCACACACACAGATATCCCCCTAACATAGCTATAACTAAAAACAAACTAAAAACTACTTCCAAAAATATTCAGCTTTGATATTAATGAGTTTTTTGGGTTCATTGAGAACATGGTTGTTGTTCAATAATAAAATTAATCCTCAAAAATACAACTTGCCTAATAATTCTGCACTCCCTGTAATCTTTCAATGTAGGGTAATAACTGCTTGATCCAAGGATAAATCTGACTGCCATTCTGGGGTCAAGAAGGAATTTTTTTCTTAGCTTGTTGCAAAATTGTGCTTCAAACTGGGTTTTTTTTGCCTTCTTTTGGATCAACAGCAAAAAACAAATGTGAGGTAGGCTGAACTTGATGGACGCAAGTCTCTTTTCAGCTATGTAACTATGTACACACACACACACACACACACACACACACACTCTTACTTACTGGAGTTGGAGTGGAGTCACTGAAGTGAAGTCCCTGGTTTGTAGATGTTAGGAAAGCAGGGACTCCTTCCTGCTTCCCCTCTGTATGCAGCAGTAGCTGCAGCGAGGAAGGCCGCCTTTAGCGCGGCACACGCTGCCGATTTGGCTCCACCCCCACGGACAATTTAGCTCTGCCCCCAACTCTCAGAGAAGTTGCCCTGCTCCTGGCCCCTGCGTGTGAGCTGTGTTGGCTGCCTGGCGCCCTTGTGCAGCCACACAGCTTACTTCTCCCCAAGCCTGGCCAGCCCTGGTGGCCACCCCCACCTAGTGGCATCCGGGGCAGACCGCCCCCCCACCCCCCTTAGTGTGTGTGTGTGTGTGTGTGTGTGTGTGTGTGTGTGTGTGTGTGTGTGTGTGTGTGTGTGTGTGTGTGTGTATATACACACACACACACACACACACTCTATAAAAGACATACACCCACAGAAACACACATACACAACCACAGACCTACACACAAAATCACATACATAATGTCATGCTCCTGAGCAGGTCAGAGAGGAGATGATTGCAAGGGTTATTGGTTAAAAAAAAAGTTATTTGTCGTATTAGACATAACAAATTTACTGAAATAAAGAATAAAAGGGCAGTCTGCCACAAACAGGATACTTTGTGAGAAAAAAAAAAAAGGGTTTAGGCGATATGCCACAAACAAGATCTTTAGAAAGTAAATGAATAAAGTCTTTTGTATACAAGCAGGCTTGAAGTTATACCAAGTAGTTAAGGATTTCCAGGATATTTTGCAATGCAGCTAGTTATAGGTAAATACCTTTTAGAATAAGGCAATACAGGATCATGCAGAGTTTGAAACAGGTAGGTATATTCCAAAATAATATAATGCAGGCTGCTTACAAGATCATGCAGTGATGCAGCAATTGAAGCAGTTAAGATTCTTCAATGAAGGCAATACGCCACAAATCAGGATTCTTGGAAACTTATAAGGAAAGTCTTTCAGGCAAGTTCAGGATGAAGTAATGCAGGTTAGTGCCTTTCAGTATGAGGAAATGCAGATGAGTACAGGATGAGGCACTGCAGGTAAGTTCTCTACAGAATGAAATCATTATCAGAGCATAGACTTCAATGTCAAGGCATTGTTGTGTGCTGGGAGTAGACTTATCAAGCCTCCTAATTAGTTAATCCAGGTGAGGTTATTAAGGAGAGTGAACAGATTAGTGGCTAGGGAGGCCACTAGAGGAGAAAATCATGAAGTTCACTTAAAGGGCCAGTAATAAACGAAAAAGTCTTTCATGTCAGTTTTGAAACCTGACACATAAACACACATAATCACAACATACACACTTAACCAATTTAACGTAGAGAAATGCAAAGTTATGCTCTTCGGGGTTAAGAATGCACAAGCAACTTACACACTAAATGGTAGTGAATTAGGGATAACCACACACGAGAAGGATTTGGGAATTGTTATAGACAACAAATAAGGCAGCAATATGCAATGTCAATCTGCAGTTGCTAAAGCCAGTAAGGTTTTGTCATGTATAAATAGGGGCATAAATTCTCGGGATGAAAATATAATTTTACCTCTTTATAAATCGCTGGTAAGACCACACCTTGAATATGCTGTGCAATTTTGGGCGCCTGTTCTAAACAAGGATATCATGGCACTAGAAAAAGTCCAGAGACGAACTACAAAATTGATAAAAGGAATGGAACATTTTAGTTATGAAGAAAGGCTAAAAAAAATTAATCTATTTAGTTTGGAAAAACGGCGCCTGAGAGGGGATATGATAACTTTATACAAATATATCCGGGGCCTGTACAAACCTTTATTTGGAAACCTATTCATAAACAGGGCTATACATAGGACATGAGGTCACACATTTAGGCTGTAAGAAAGGAGATTTTCATCTAAGGCAAAGAAAAGGTTTTTTTACAGTAAGAGCAATAAGGATATGGAATTCTCTGCCTGAAGAGGTGGTTTTGTCAGAGTCACTACAGATGTTTAAACTGCAATTGGATAACTACTTACAAAATCATAGCATACAGGGATATCATTTCTAATTAGTGGGATAATAGCTGCTTGATCCAAGGAGACATCTGACTGCTATTTTGGGGTCAAGGAGGAATTTTTTCCTAGTTTGTGGCAAAATTGGAAGTGGTTCAGACTAGATTTTTTTGCCTTCTTTTGGATTAACAGCAACAACATATGTGAGGAAGGCTGAACTTGATGGACGCAAGTCTCTTTTCAGCTATGTAACTATGTAACCACAGAGATACACACACACAACCACACACATAATCACAGACATATACAAACACAATCACAGACCCACACACATACAATCACAGACACACAATCACGTACACACATAATTAAACATAGACACACAAACATCACACACATACACACATTGGATAATTAAGACGTCCACCCAGTCTCCATACCCTGCTCTGGGAGGGCTGGAGTGGATCCTCAATTCTTGGTGATCAGTGTTTGCTGCTGGGATGTCTGTGCTCTTCCTGCACAGATCCCTTGCGCGCCCTGTATTGACGCCGATGCCGGGCATGCAAGGGAGACATGCATGAAGAGCATAATAAGTAAAGGGCTGCCTCGCCGTCCGGCAGCTCATACAGACACTGGGATTTTAAGAGGGAAGGGTGAAGTGGGGGGGCATGATGTAGGGGGAGCCATGACCCCCTCTGGTCCTCCCCCCGCCAGCAAAGCTAAAGACACATGCCTTTTGGGTGGCCCTCCATGTAACATATAGTGTGTGTATAGAGGTGTAGTGCTTCTAAAGAGGGCTTTATTGAATTTTTTTTTTTTTTTTAATTTAATATTCATTCCCCCTTCCCTGTTGTTACCTTACAGGAAGGCAACCTCTGGTGTTCCATTGTGCTGGGAATCTGGTCTGTGCCTCCGCCTCTGTGTGTGATATTTGTTAGGGGAGTATTGATTGTGTGTGATCTTCGTTAGGGGTGTATTGACTGTGTGTGATATTTGTGATGGTTATTTAATTAAGATTAAAAAATAAAAATGCATGTAAGTCCATGTGTGAATTCAGATGTGTATTTTTGTAGTGAACTACTACGCCCCCCAACCCTTAGTAGGCCACTGAACTCTATAGGCACCCAGACCACTTAATCTCAATAAAGTGGTCTGGTTGCCATGTTTTAACCCTGCAACTGAAAACATTTGCAGGAAGGGCAACGTTTACATTTCAGGGTTTGAATGCCTGTTGTGGCTGTCATTCTGTCAATCAGATGGACTCATAGAGAGCATTTGAATGTCACAGCGTGGTGTTTTGCTATTGATGCGTGCAAGCATCCCATTGCTTTTTTTTACAGTGAGCATTGGATTGGCTGAGATCGTTGATCTTGATGATCTCAGCCAAGGAGACCTGCCAGCAAGACGGAGAGCAGTGCGGTGAGGGCTGAAAGTTAAGTAAACCTCACCCTTCGAGCACTCGAAGACATTAGTACAGTTAGATAAAGTGTCCATTTGTAATGTTGGGAGGTATACAAGACATCTTCCTGTTTGGAAGATACACAGCCAATGAGAGGTTATTATGAGCTGGGCTGCCCCATAACCAGTCACAGTCCTCTTATTATCTTTATACTGTATCTGTATACCAAAGATGGGAGACTAAGACGCTGACATACTGTCTTCATTCTAGTAGTGTAATGTATTGATTACATTTTCCTCCCGACCACTTACTATAAAGTTGTTTGTAACATTAAAGGTGCATTTTAAAGTGTAATGATATCATAAAAATGACCTCCTATATTTAATGTATTGTATGGGTAATCTATATTAAAAAAAATGCTAAAAATCCAAGTTAAACAAATGTAATTTAATGATTTGTTTGTTTTATCAGGCCAGTTGACATGGATGATTTTAGGTGCTCTCGAATTTACAGATAATTTTCAAAGTTTACTCACCTTATTTGCATATTGAACATGAGGTACCAAGGCAAGTTACATGTCATCCTGCTGACTTTGTTGTTTACATGGAGCTGAATAGTTAGCACTGTATGACACATCTCAAGGCTCTGTAAACAATACAGCTAGAGAATGTACAACGTCCATTTCAAAAGGCCATACATAAATTACAGCGAAGATCCTTAAAATCCACCTGTCACTAATCTTAACAAGTCAGTTCCTGAGAATTTTAGGTAAATGGGATTTGCTGTTTCTGCAAATGACAATTAGCATTTTCAGTGCAAATGGGAATATTGCTACAAAAAAAAAGTAAATGCAGTTTTTCCCTAACCCCAATAAAAACTGTAAAATGTAATTTTAAAAAGTCAGAATTGCCAGGGTGGTGAAAATCTTTGCCTTAGTCAGGTGTCAATTTACCGCAAGTTACTATTTTAGTGAATAAAGCTATAAATGTTTTGTCCACTTCCTTTTGTCCTATGCCTTGATCACTTGCTTGCCCTAATCCTCCTATTGTTTTTCCCTGCTTTCTGTACAAAATCAAATCTGAGCACTCTCCTAGCCCCCACCCGATTCGGGTAGGTTTAATAGTAAAAGAATGGATTCTGTCAATTATAGTGGGTGAAGTCAGTACTAAAGGCCCAGTGAATGGGATGAAACATGCAGAAAGGGAGTCTAATGTTTGGGACTGGTCAATGGAGGTGACAATAATTGTCAGGATTAAACTTTGAGCACACGTGCACACACAAAGGAGACAGATGTGATGATGGGCAAACGAGGACACATGCTTCTGATAGTTACATTGTATTCAATACTTTGTAAAACAACATTATTCAACTATTGGGACTCCGTAACCTGCAGTTAGTTGTAGAATAATACACATTAAATTGCACTAAAAAAACCTTTTTTTTTACTATGATAGATAAGTTGCAAATATAAATTGTTGCATTAAAAGTATAGTTTAACAAATGCTCGGTGATTGATCATCCTGTAATAATCGTATACAAAGACTTCAAGTGGATCAGATCACAGCATTCAATGACCTTGTAATGTATTGCCATGCGTGAAAAGTCACTGTGTCAATTGCATGCCCATGACAAACATTTCTATGTGTTATTTTCGAGATTCCTGAAATATTTCCAATGCACTGACCACTTTACTATACAGACAAGAATGATGTAGTTTTGCAAAGTGAAAACTCATGCTGCAGCTATGTATCATGCTATTTTCAGTGCAAAAATATCCTAATTCCTCTAGAATACATTAGAATTGCTCTCACATAGCACGGTGCTAATATCACTCTCAGTATCCAAAGCCTAAGCTTAAAAAAAGCCTTGTGTTTAGTGCATATCATGGTATTGGCATTGTCATTTTGTTCAACATATAATATGTGTCAATCAAAATTTTGTTGTATGATTTCGTTACAAATGCATGTGATTTACTAACTGCCAAATTGCTTAAATAGTTCTTCTGAAATAAGATGAGATCTGATGGGCTTATCTTTGGTCATTGAGAACATCCA